ACAGCATTCAAGGAATTACTTCCTACCGGTCCCCATTTACTTCACCTGGGTGGAGTGTGGCTATTGTACATCAATGTCTTGCCAAAGGACATAAGGTTTCTCTTCCGCCAATTGTCTACTATCTCTGTATCTTTTCTAGTTTTGTTTCCCAATTTAATTTCACCACTAAATCTAGGTCAGTGTCTATATAAACTCCTAAGTATTTGATACAGCCATCTGTCCAATACGGGCCAAAGGCCTGAAAGTTCCATTTATGCTTTGTAGGACCCAACCAATTCAAAATTGTTTTATTATCTTTATCGAGCACTTGACCAGCAGCGATTCCAAATCTGTCTAATTCTTCCAAAATATATTTCACAGATGACACCATGCCAGACTAAAGGTTGCAGTATACTAGAATATGAATAAAGGCAGCATATATCTCATTTACAAACTGGCTGATAAAACTGTCCTGAGGAGTAAACAATGCTTTCATGAAAGAGAATCGACTTGCCTAATCACAGCTGAGGCATGTGCATGTACGTAAATGATCAAATAAGTAAAAGGTAAAAGCAATATGAATTTACCACTTCCAAAACTAACATGAAATACACACGAGTGACAATTAGGCCTATATAGAGATACGATATAACGCACCAAACCTGATTTACAGGGTAAGTCCACCCTGATATACACTTGTTTTTGATAATAGTAGACAAATGAGTGAAACAAATTAGTAAAAGCTTGAACAATATCCGATAAATAATAGGATAGTTATAATTTTGTATTCATCAGTGAAACGAAAATTGGCCACACTGTGTATACTCTGTTAGAAATTTGATTAGAGATTTCGTGTTTGTGAGAATTGGGCTTATTGATTAAAAAGGGGTAGGGAGTCCGCTATGCAGGGGTGTTAATTGTATTAAAAGCCCGATCAATAGGGACTTTTAGATTCGCACGAAGACAATAGGTCTATGCTACGATCGACGTCTTTTTAAAGCACTGCCGTGAATGGAAGTACCACGTATCAGTGCACGCAAATCTAAAAGTCCCTAATATGTTTGCTGGTGCGAGAGATGTATATTACGATTTTGTAAAGCACGTATTTCCCCATGAATGTGTGCGAGTGCATGGAGACCACCTGCTGTTCATTATGGGGCTTGATTGTTGGTACATGCACCCGTTGATTCTCCGAGAGACTAGGGGGTTATTAGTGATAGGCAAATGGTTTGCTGTGTGCAGGCTTGTACAAACATTATTGATATTTCCACCAAGTCTGGTGTCAGCGAATTATTGCCCTGCTCATAGAAACTGACGACCTTCTCTCTATAAATAACCACCCCCGGCCCATCCATTTGTACAGATTTCATTCTCTACCTGACTGATTCCATTGAAATTGTGACGACATAATAAGTTGAATTATTATTGCTATGTACGATTGGCTTTACTCAAACCAGGAACTAAATTGTGCGTTATTTCAGAATGTAAGACTTTTATCAACAACGATGCGATTTGTTTCTTCAGCTTCTAGATATCGATATTTTCTGCTTTGTTCAAATTCTTTTCGGATATATAGATAGATAGATAGATACTTTATTAGTTTCCACAATATCTCATTTTACAATGCTCGATATGAGTATATTATAAACATAGTTGGCATGGTCATACCGTTATTTACTCATTGTAATAAACAAATGTATACAGCTTGGAGACAATAATTGTCAGGAATCAGGAATTATAATATGTATTCAAATAATAACATTTCAATTTTCTTCTCAATAAATGAACACTATACAGACCTTCAAGGCTTCAAGGCTTCAAGGCTTTAATAAGTAGACTTTTGAGATGTGGTAACCGACATTGTTTTTCACATTTATCAAAGCCCATGAATAAACGTTGCCCACTGAACAATATTATAGTGTAGTACTTATAAAGGAACGTATACTCTGGTATGATGAACATATATACACACATATATATATACATATATATATATACATATATATATATATATATATATATATATATACATATATACACAAATGTTTTTTGTTAAATATTTCAATAATGTTTGATTGATTCTTTTCAGTTCACAAAACATATTCCTTGGAAAGAACCAATTAATATTTGCATAATTGATACATATATATATATATATATATATATTGGCTACTTGGGCATAGACTTTTCAGTTAAATTATCTGAAATGGTTAATCACAATTATCAAGAAAAGAAAAGAACATTGACTCCCTTAAGCCCCCATCACACCAAACTAGTTCTCACTACGTTCTCGAAAATGTTGTCAAACGGGCTCAAACTGTGTGCGGACGGAGTTGAACGTAATAGCAACTGTTTACGATCTGTTTAAGGACTTCATGGATGGGCTCAGACTTGACTACTGTCTATGACACGATCCTAGTTCGTTCATTAACAGTCCACAATACGTCTAACTCGTCTGTACCCCGTCCACAGTCAGTTCATATCAAGTTCAGATGGGGTTCAGATAGGGTAAATTTGACATTTCCAAGCAGCCCATTATTAACTTGTTCTACCTCGTTCCCAAAACGTCCAAATCCCAGTCTGATTAGTTCGCAACTTGTTCTTACCAGTTCATAACCCAACCACCCCGTTCAGAGACAGTTCACCTCGTCCTGATTTCGTTCTTAGAGCGTTCGAACGCGCTCCTATCGTGCGTGTGCAATACCGTCCTGGTTCCATAGCTATACAAACCCAGCGCGTTCTTGCTAATTGATGCTGGACCACATCACGTTGTAACATGCTCCAAGTAGGGTCGAAGAACGGCAATTCCGTTTTTAGTACGTCCATGTCGTTTTAAGTACTTCGTCACTCCGTCTAGTTGGAAGACGTGGAACATTATGAACAGGCTCAAAGTTTTACAGCACCCTTCCCGTCCTAGCCAGTCTGAGCCCGTTCATGAAGTTATAAAAAAGATCGTAAATAGTTGCTTATACGCTCACTCCGTTTACACACAGTCTGAGCCCGTTTGTCAACATTTTCCAGAACGTAGTGAGAACTAGTTCGGTGTGATCAGGGCTTCATTTGAACGTCTTGATCTGCAAAGTTTGAAGCGTTGAAGTAATGCTAAATCAGTTTTTCCGACACCCTTTTATCCAAACTTTGGTTGACGTGGGGGGGGGGGGGTGGTGGTTAAGTCCGATCGCAATACATATATTTAACCAAGATAATCAGTTTTCGGGGGCCTAATTCGACTACTAATATTGATTGTATTGGTTCTGTTCAATGAGGTAATTTTGCTACATTTCGTTATGATCAATACATTTTGAGACGTGTATTTTATTTAATCCACGCAGTATCTATATATTGATCTCTATTCTCTACGTTTATAGATATTCCAAATTCTTAAGTAAATTCATGAATTAAATCCGGTATTTATTGTCTTGCTTTGTTTGGCTTCGTTTATTAGAAATATGTGCCTCTATTTTTTACTTTTATATTTGAAGTTTTAATAACGAGGTGACATCGCGACTGATCAGAAAGACTTTGATAAAGTGAGGTTTTGAGGGAATTTAATGATAATATTATGAGTCACCATTTCCGTTCTCACTCAGTTCAGTCATTTTCCAAAAAAACACTGTGAGAAATCCTTGTTGATACGATGTTTTTAAAATCAAATATCTGTAAATTATGCAAGCAATTCAGCCATTGGCTGCGATATGTTTATGAATAAATACCTTACCTTACCTTAAATTATGACATCTTTAACTGTGAGGTGTTTTGTTTGTGTTTGTTCAGGATACAACAACATGTAAATGAGCAGAGTCTCCCTCAAGGCGCTGATTTTTACGAAGGAATTCAGGATCAGAAACCGTAAGTCTTTTGTTTATCAATCATCATTCAGTAAATGGTAGGCTTCGATTATGACATATTTGTTATTATTAACTTTATTCGGGTGATAACACAAGCGTCAAGCATATCGCTAGTGTATAAGTGAATACAATGGAAGGAGGGAAGGGATTAGAGAGAGATGAGGGGGAAGGGGTGGTGGTGGGTGTGGGGGGGGGTGTTGAATCGGATAAAGTATTTTGTATGAATAGGAAATAAATTGGTCATAATTTATTAATCTCCGCTTTGACATTTTATTTCATCTCCATGGAAATCAGACATGAAAACTTTTGATTTGGACCATCATTATCAGTAATCATTTATCATACTTTGATAATAATTGCAACATGTCATGCCACATGTGTTCCACATGAAGTAAAGATTTAGCACAACAGTCGATTACCCGTTTCAGTACCAAGCCCTTTATATTTTACTGGCAATTCTGCCCTCCTCCTAGATGAAACTTGTTATGATCCACCTATGAGACTCCATTCTAGATTTTACAAAATTATCCGCTTAGTTGAAAACTTGTTTACAGAACCTCTTTCTATTAGGTTTGATATCATAACGCTTACAAACTGTTGGCGTGGTTGGGGTAAACAAATTTGATTTTTTTTTTTTTTTTTTTTTGTTCTTTTAACTAATGATGAGACTGAATTCACCTTCATCTTTTGATATTACATTTTATTTAAAAATCTTACAATGCATTCCACGTACCAATATCGACACAATGAGTTAACTTGAACGTTTTCAATTTCCTTTGAAAAGATATAGACACGAGGACTTAAACTATGATCTAATCAGGTACATACATAAATAAGTAATGAGGTATTAGTAGGCAGCAATGGACTTAACATGTTACATTCCATTTTAAAACAAATGGACACCCCATCGTCTTCCCTGAAGATAGTGATAGACATTAATGACATCATGGAAATGTATTGCCTATTTTCAATGGCATATCATCCTATTGCTTTTGCCTTCATTTCAATCTCTTCCTAAGAACATAATTTGAACAAGTATAAATCAATTGTCGAAAGGGTTTATACGTTTAAATGCTAGATTCCATAATATCACGTCGAGTGCAACAATATCAATTTGCCTTTTGCTATAGGGCCAAGGGAACCGTTGTACCGCTGATCACATCACTGCAAAACATGCCACCCCAACAAACATCCCGTACTTTGAATACTGGACACAAGGAAGCTCAGAGAGAGCATTCAGATGGAGGAAATAGAGTATTGTCTAATACGCCTAGATTACTTCGACCTGATGCAGATACAGAGGACGAAAATAAAGAGCTGTCACACGGCGATCTTGAACATTTGAATGCCAACACATCTGCTGATGTTAAGTGCGTCAAATTAGAAGAATGTTCATCTTCTCTGCTATTCAACCCTGACATAGATCAGATGGATGAGGAGGGATACACACCGCTCTACAAGGCAGCTTTAAAAGGTGATCTCGAAGGTGTTAAAGACCTCATTTCACATGGAGCAAACCCAAATAAACCAAGTAAAGATGGACTCCGTCCACTTCATGCAGCGGCTCATGAAGGACAGGAACACATTGTTGACTTCTTCATCCTTCAAGGAGTGGACGTAAATATCGAGTGTGACTTAGGTCAGACTCCTCTTCATACATCAGCTGTAAATGGCTATGCTGACATCTTAGAGAAGTTCAAATCAAACGGATCTGATGTGAACAAGAGAGATAACACTGGGTGCACACCATTCAATGCTGCCGTTAAATATGGTCATCTACATGCCGTCCAATACCTCATGACTGAAAAATGGGAGCAGAACAGATATGATGGTATGACCCCACTCTATGCCGCAGCATATTTTGGTCATTTAGACATCGTCAAATTATTCATAACCTGTAACGCTGATATGAACGAAGAAGGAGATGAAGGTAAAATTCCTCTCCACGGTGCTGCTGCTCAAGGCCACATGAAAATCATAGAATATCTCATTCAACAAGGATCCAATGTGAACAGGAAAGATAACACTGGGCTGACTCCATTCAACGCTGCCATTCAAAATGGTCATCTAGAAGCAGTCAAATATCTCGTGTATAAGCAAGCGAATCAAAACAGATATGCTGGTATGACCCCACTCTATGCCGCAGCAAATGTTGGTCACTTAGACATCGTCAAATTCGTCATATCCAATGGTGCTAATGTGAACGAAGAAAATGATGACGGGAGAATTCCTCTCCATGGTGCAGCTACCAGAGGTTCCATGAAAGTGATGAAATATCTCATTCAGCAAGGATCTGATGTGAACAAGAATGATTGCAGAGGTTGGACGCCATTACATGCTGCAGTCAAACACAGCCATTTAGACGTTGTCGAACTTCTCTTAGGGAAAGGAGCTAAGGGTACCAGTTTTGAAGGATTGACCCCACTTTACATCGCAGCACAGTATGACCACGTCGATGTGGTAAACTTCCTTGTTTCCAATGGATATGATGTGAACGAAAGAAATGAATATGGCAAGGTTCCTCTTCATGCAGCATGTTTCAATGGCAACATGGATATCGTGAAAGTTCTCGTTAACCACAACTCTAATTTCAATGAACAAGATCATAATGGACGGACACCACTCGAAGCCGCTGCACAAAAAGGACATCAGGATTTAGTACATTACCTTGTATTGAATGGAGCAGACATGAACGTGAGGGACATAGATGGTCTGACGCCGCTCCGAGCAGCAGCAAACACAACCCATCCACATGCGATAGAAGGTATCCCACCTTCTAGAGGTGACCCGGATGAGGAAGAAACAGGAGATCCAGAACCTGGAGGACACCAGAAGCTAATCACAAGAGGATATATGACGGTATCACTGACAGATACAGACACGCAGTCTCGTATAGGACAGTTATCATCTCACGTATATGATACAGCGGATAGGAATGACTGCAATCAAGCTGATAATTCGAAGAGAGGAGACAATAAGCTCTCCTTGAAGAATCTTCCCAGACTGATCCCTGACGCTGCAGAAGGTGGTAATGGAGAACGCAACCCTTTAGTTCATGCTAAGCTGAAGTATCCTGACAAAGGTGAACAAGATCCGATGCTAGATCAGATGGAGCCAATTAAGTGCACCGGGACAAAGACAAGAGACACCAAAAGAAATGACACAGACTACCCTTCCCCGCGTGGACCTCAGACGTGGCAATACAGCGGATTTGATTCACCCTCTCTACAAACCATGGAGACTGACAGTCACCCGTCTGAAGAACCGAAATCCAGATGTCACTCACTAATTGACGAAAACAAGGAAATGAGAGTGAGTGGTTATTAAATGTTTAACTTTTTTCTTAACAAAGCATATATATTTGATTTAAACTCTGAATAGGAAAGAAAAAAGCCAATACATATTATGTTTGAAGCAAATATCTATGACTATTATCAATGTCATCTGACATAGAGATGAAAAATAAAGATTCGTAGAAAGCAAAATAAATGACCTTTTGTACATAGCCCTAAGGTAAAGATTCCGTAATATAATTTGCTTCCAACATACCTGTGCATGAGAAAAGGACTCAAAATATAAAAATAGAGAATGAACAATTACATGCCATAATAATTTAAACATTGGTCAGTTATTTATGTTGTGAGAAACACTAACGTGTTCATTCTATGCATGTAATTTAAAGTATGTCTTACTCGTTGTTTCATCTAATTCCTCCTAGAGCATCCGTGCTAACCTAAACTAATTATCGGCATTAGGTCTTCTTAATTATTATCCTTTCACAGCACTCTAATTTCACATTTTATATGATGCAATTGATTTTCCTCGTCAGGAACCTTCTTCACCGAGGAATGCTGGAAATGACCTACCAATCAAAGAAACATCAGTGAAGTTTGACAGGTACAAGTCACTTTCCGTTTCTTTTATATGAGCACAATTTATTATTTGTTGAACGAGATGTATTTGGTGCATATGTTTCACCATTAATAACGACTGGTTTGTCATGTGTATTGAATATTCAGAATCATTTTGTATATTCTTCATAATATATATGAATAATCGTTTATGAAAATAAAAGCATTATGTACGCAAATTCAATTCAATTCAATGTATTTATTTGTCCAATGTCATTCAACATGGATGTTTTGTTTGCTCACATGTAAAATAAAGGCTCAGACAAAGAACAAAAATATTATACAAAACATGGATATATTTTGGTGATTGATGACAAAATAATAATCATACGTAATAATGATTCTCTTTTGGTTATGGCTTCTTTAGTTTCAATAAGTTAGGTAATTTAAATGTCTTCATGCGTATTTATGTATGACATTTATGTTTGACACCACATTAGCAGGATTAAAACACTTTCTGATTTGTTACCTACCTAGACTTGATCCAAAAGCTAGGGAACAGTGAAGCAAGACCTGATGGGGGTACCCAGGGTACTGTCGAAGTCGATATTTTGAACCTAGGAATTTTTCTTTGGCCATGTGTGGGCTTTCTGCGATGTACATGTACATCCGTTTGTAAACATCTATACATACATTTGTATAGTACAGAGATTCTTTTTTTCATAGGCAAGACATATCATCATCTGAGTAGACACTAATACGGACCCAATTTGATGGGCTTATTTTGATCTTTCCTTACATCAGCTATTTATTTCTACTATTAAATTCAACAGCTTCCCTATAAACCCACCAGCTGTCGTTCACCGAAAGTTGTATGACGGAAACCATGTCTCCACCCAAGGAACCTCTTCAAACCCAGTTTGGAAAATCGGGGTAAGACAGAAGTATTTCCTCTATTTATCATTTCTAAATAATTTGCTCTTGAAGTTTTGACATAGTATAACGAGCATATGATAACAATGGATTATAGTTCTGCATCTGTGCAAATCAAAGCTTACACGAGGACTTCTTTGAAAGGAAACTACTAGAATATTTAGATTATTTTTGTGAGGAAAGGTGTCGACCTAGTGGTACATTTTTGTTCACATTATATCAGATCCTAGCTAAATGAGATGTTCCAGGACTATGTCAAATTTCAACAACGTGCTGTTTCAAATTCATACCCTTTTGATTTAGACCAAACGTCGAACATCGGTTAAGAGGTTTCCTTCAGTCCTGGCCCTCGTACATATCCCGCAGGTGATTGTTGCTTTGGCCACCATTCTTGCTGGAAGTTCGGTTGTTGTAACAGGCAGTGATATCACCGAACGGGTAACGCTTCTAGCAGGTAAACATGGTATGGTCCCATTCCATCTCCCATGGCCACCCAATAGTACATCCCGCGGTCATTATACGCTTGGATTTAAATCTCATCCTCTTCCATTCTGCATTAATGGGGAAGCTGTTGTCAAGGGCTTTAAAAGCCCATCCCAGGAACCAAGATTTACCACCTCAGTCACAGATTTAGACACTTCTCCCTGCGTGAATCTAATGATAGATAACGTTGATACTCTAGACGGGGATGGGTACGTATTAACGGCAGTCTGGCATAGTTTTGAGAACGTTAGACAAGAAGCTGTAAAGAAGGAAATTTTTGTACAAATTCCCCCCGGATCTGCAAAATGCTTCATCATTTTAAGTGAAAATGGTGACTATACCTATGAAGTACACTGCCGTGCTACTTCTCGAAGCGTTGCAACCACACTATCATGTTACCAGAATAATCGGAAGATTGGTGTCATGGGTGATATTACAGATAATGGCCAAGTTACCAGTGGTATATTCTTGCTACCCGATAACACTCATTTCTCTTGTTGCTCACATTATGTAACTTCATATGTGAGTGAAACAACGTGCAATGACTTCGAGTGGCCACACAGCAAAGAAACCACAAGACAGACTGTCAATACTGTACCTACATTGATTACCACTCCCACAACCCAAGTAGAAACTCATACAGTGTCAGGGGCTTGTAGGCAATTCATGCTTCCTTCTCTGTGGCCCTTCACATACCTGTGCGTATACATTCTCTTCTTTGTTTCAACGTACTAAATAGAAAGTCTTCACACGTGATATCACTTTCTTATTTCACAAAATAGTGTAATACTACACAAAAATGCCGAAATATGTTATCGTTCGAATTCGAATTTCATTAATGTATATAATGTACAAAACATTCACTATTTCACATTCGTTGCCAAAATTCATACAAATATGTTTTTATTTAAAAGAAAATATCAAAATGGCCTACTTTGCAATTCGTTGTTATGTATATTTATGCTTTGTTTAATAGTCTATGGTCTGCTATAGTTCAATAATTGAAAGAAGATATTGAATTTCGATGTCATTATCTTTTATCAGCATGACGATTTGACTTAGACCAGGCCTTTTAAGTAGATTAATATCACACAGCCATGTCTGACCCCAATTTAGAATGAATTTGAACCATGGGGTGATATGAGTTACTCTTAGGATCGACATGTGCACGATGAACATTACTCTAGATATAGATATAGTGAATGCATATACAATTTTCATAAGTATGACTTTTCTTAATGACGTCAGAAAGTAGAAAAATTGGATATAAGAAGAAAGTATACCATTATATTGTAAATACAAAATGGAAAGAGGAAACACTATAATCACGTAAAAATGTCAAGTTTCTTTAAATTAACTTTGTAAATAGAAACAGAATATAAATGTAATTTTAAAAACACGCTTTGCAGAACTATTTAAAATTCAGTCAAAGGCAGATTAGTTTCTCTTTCTTTTACACTTTCCTCATCTTCATTCGGTTATCTAACATACGGTAACGAACCCGGGGATTGTATCCCCCTGTCCTGTTTACCGTCCACTTTGTACAGTATATACGAACTTAGCATAAATATTGTTGCCAAAACTCTGATCCTTCTACTATCTTTAGATATGTAACTGGAATTTAAGTGCACCAATTTAAAATATCTACGTTAACCGCAGTTTAGATGGCATGGCTTTATAATACAAATCATTATGGACTTGCAATATATGATTTGCATTTTATCATACAAATGAAAAATATTACACTTTACTAATAGCTCACCTTATTTCATTGATTTATTTGTAGGTTAAGAATTTCCGATTTACGTTCTTTATATTGTAAATAAGTGTGAATATCATATTGTGAATACATGTTAGTTATTAAAATGGCCAACCTCTTTTGTATTTGGGGGTAGAGTAAATCCTTAGAGTGAGCACATTTCCAAGTTGTATTTGACATTCACATTTAATGAACCATTTTTATTTTGTAATGAATTCAATTTTTTGGATAACACATTTTGGAATTATCATGGAGGTATTTGGTAACAAACGGTCTAATTTTGCTATTTGAGAATAACAGAAACCGACTTTTAGGGATCCGTTTCTTTTGCTCTGTACACTAATGATCGTAAAAGGATGATGTGGAAAATACACAAAAAGACTAGCGAGGAAGAGGAAAGACACTTTAAAAACAATAATAAAAAAAATGAACAAATCAACGCATACCTGAGGGTATATGCAACGCATCCTGTTTAATAACGTCTTTGTATAGGTTTTTATAGGTTTGTAAATGCTTAGATTGTGCACATTTTCAAGTTATCTTTGACGTTCATACCGACTTACTTGCTAATATTACGAACGTATGTGGGTCATAAAGGGTCAAATTTTGCTATGAAATAATAACCGAACTTTTTTGAGAGAGATTCGTTTGTTTCCTTCTTTATATTTATGCTCGTAAAACAATGATGTACAAAATACACCAAAGGGCCATCCATAAATAGTAGAGACACACTTAAAACAATAATTTCATTTCATTTATTTCATTCTCCATAAAAACATTAAAACATGATATACAGATAAAGATTGATAACAACAAAAATACAAAGGGAAGGAGCAAACAAAATTTTATGGGAATGTGGGGTTAACAAAAAGGGCAATTAGCCTTATAAACGTCAACCTCTTAAAAAATATACACTGTATTGTTGAGAAAAGAAAAGCAGAGATAAACTTAAACACCAATACAAAAGGGGGGAAAAAGAAAGGAGAAGGGAAGGGGAGGAGGAATGCATTAAAAAGTGCATTAGCTGAAACGTGACGTCATTTATTTTGAGATTTAACACAATGATAAAAGATGGGATTTATACAACCGTTTAAAAAATATTCGTTGAATTGGAGTTTTCCACAAAACTGATCCTTTGAAAAAAAAAATTGTATTTTTTGTAAACATTTGTACGGATTTTAGGAAAATGAAAATTACCAGCATTACGAGTTTCATGATAATGTATTTGAATAATTAACACAATTATATATGTACATTTGTTGTTATATGGCTGTACAATGTATGTAACCTATATAAAATAT